TTGGGATAGAAGTTGCTCATTCAAAGCAAGGGATATTTATTTGTCAAAGGAAGTATGTTCTTGACCTCCTTAAAGAAGGAGGAAAACTTGAGTGTAAACCTTCCAATACTCCGATTGAGCAGAATCACAGACTAGGAAGTGAAAATGAGAGCTCTCCAGTTGACAAAGGACAATATCAATGAACAGTGGGAAGATTGATATATCTAGCTCATACTAGACCTAATCTAACTCATGCAGTTAGTGTTGTTAGTCAATTTATGCATGATCCGAGGGAGAAACACTTGCGAGCTGTGGAGAGGATTCTCAAATATCTGAAAGGCACGTCAGGTAGAGGACTATTGTTCCAAAGAGGAGGAAACCTATCCTTAGAAGTTTATACAGACGCCGATTATGCTGGATCGATGACTGACCGACGGTCTACTTCGGGCTATTGTATGTTTCTCTGTGGAAATCTTATAACATGGAGAAGCAAAAAGCAAAATGTGGTTCCTAGATCAAGTGCAGAAGCAGAATTTCGAGCTATGGCTCAAGGTATCTGTGAGTTATTATGGCTGAAAATCATTCTCGATGATCTCGAGGTGAGATATGAAGGATCTATGGAGTTACTTTGTGATAACAAGTCAGCTATCTGTATAGCCCACAATCCAGTTCAACACGATCAAACCAAACATATTGAGATTGATCGCCACTTCATTAAAGAGAAATAAGACAGTGGACTGATCCCTACTCCATATATTCCTTCTGGTCGTCAATTGGCTCATGTCCTAACTAAGGGTCTTCCTAATGATAGATTTCAAGAACTTACTACCAAGCTGGGAATAATAAATATCCATTCCTCGGCTTGAGGGGGAGTATTGTAAATATTAGAATTATTTTATTATTATTTTCTAATAGTTAGAATAATCTATAAGTGTATTTGGGCTTAGCCCATTAGGTTTTTTAGTCTCTTTAAATAAAGAACTCTTGTACAAAAAATATACAATTCAATAATATTACAAATCTATGATCTTCCAACTCTACATCAAAGTTATCGACTTAATAGGTGGATTATTTATCATGGTCCTCAGCTTATTCGCACCATGATCAAGAGTCGCAATAAGATTGCTCATCTAGATGGCCCTGCTCCTGCAACCATTGATCCTAAATTTGCTATCTGGGATAATGAGGATTCCCTTATTATGACTTGGTTACGAAACTCGATGACTCCTGAAGTGGGTCATCACTGCATGTTTTTGTCTTCCGCTAGGGAGATTTGGGAAACTGTCCACTCAACCTACTCCTTGAAACAAGATATGGCTACGCGCTATGAATTGCGCAATAAAATCTTTTCTACTAAACAGGACTCCCTATCTGTGACAACTTATTATGGTGTTATAAAGGAATTATGGACTGAGCTTGACTAATTCCAAAGTTTGAAGATGCAATGTATTGTGGATGCTACTGCCTTAGCCAAGGAGGTGGAAAATGAGCGTGTTTTTGGTTTTCTTGCTGAGTTGAATTCTAAATATGATCCTATTCGGGTTCAGATACCTGGCAAAGACACATTACCATCCCTCTCTACTGTTTTCAATATTGTTCGGGGTGAGAAGACTCGTCGAGAAGTTATAATGCACCCCAACACATCAGATAAGTTTGTTATGCTATCATCCTCTAAGGCTGTTGCTATTTCTAGACCCATTGATAGGTCTGCTATGATCTCAGTAAAAAAGGACGAGTCTTCTCAAGGGGGTTCCTTCACCAAATCTGTTGATGGTGCATCCACCAGATCCAAGAAAGATGATCACTGATGTTCCTATTGTAGAAGGGCAGGTCATATCAAGGATCTATGCTTTCTCCTCAATGGGAAGCAAAATGTCTTGGACAAGATGGCAAAGATGCACAGTCAAGCTCATTTAGTTTCCTCGGATGTGACCGCTGCTCCTAATGAGACATAACCTACATATTCAAAATTTACTTCTATACGCGGAGATGATTGGAGTGGATTCAGACTATGCTCAATTCTCTGAGTAAGACATCTGATACTTGTGCTTTGGCTATGATTGGTATGAATTCTACTACTCATTCTTTTATTGCTTCTTGTGCTGATTTTAAACATTCTTGGATTATCAATTTTGGTGCTACTGATCATATGGCTTGTTGTGCTCACTCCTTTCTTTCTTATAACCCTACTTTTGGCACCCACACAATAACTGTAGTTGATGGCTCACACACATCAATTGCGGGTTTTGGTAACATATTCTTACAGTCTTCCTTACATCTCCAAAATGGTAAGTCCTGAACAGGAGAAAACAGCCCACATTGTTTCACTTGCAACCTCAATTGTCTGAACCATTGGTAAATCCTGAACATCTTGTTTGTGAGCCTGATATTAATGCCTCTGATGACTTACCCATTGCCCTTAGAAAAGGAAAAAGAAAAAAGATCTTGTACCCAACACCCTATCTCTCGTTTTATCTCTTCTACTAACCTTTCTGTGCGGCACAAAAGCTTTGTTTCAGCACTAGATTCTATCTCAATCCCAAATCAGTACATGAAGCATTAAAAAATGAGAATTGGGCTTTAGCCATGCAAGAGGAGATGAATGCCTTGGAGAAAAATAAAACATGGGAGGTTGTTGATAGACCTAATGGAAAGAAAGCAGTCAGGTGCAGATGGGTTTATGCCCTAAAGTATAATTCTGATGGTACTCTAGAGAAATATAAGGCTCGGTTAGTCGCAAAGGGTTACACTCAGACCTATGGCATTGATTATGAAGAAACTTTTGCCCCAGTTGCAAAGATGAATACTGTGAGAGTTTTGTTGTCCCTTGCTGCCCCTTACAACTGAGATATAAATCAATTTGATGAGAAGAATGTTTTCCTTAATGGTGGGTTAGAAGAAGAGATCTACATGAAAATCCCACCTGGTTTTGACTCTGTGGATGGAGAAAATAAAGTTTGTAGGTTAAAAAGGCTTTGTATGGATTGAAGCAGTCTCCTCGTGCTTGGTTTGAGAGATTTACTAAGGTTATGATAACCTTAGGATACAAATAGAGTCAAGGAAATCACACTTTTCTTTAAGCACTACCAAGATGGGAAGCTCATTGTGCTCCTTGTGTATGTTGATGATATTATTATAACAGGTGATGATTTTGCAGAAAGATATATTCTACAAGCACGACTAGCCTTTGAGTTTGAAATTAAAGACCTTGGGAGATTGAGATATTTCCTAGAGATAGAAGTAGCTCATTCAAATGAAGGAATTTTTACAGCCAGAGAAATATGTACTTGATCTTCTTAAAGAAGTAGGAACACTTAGGTGTAAACTCTCTAGTACTCCTATTGAGCAGAATCACAAAATGGGTTATGAAAAGGAGAGTCCTCCAGTTGATAAAAGACAATATCAACGGCTAGTTGGGAGATTGATATATCTGGCTCATACTAGACCAGACCTAGCTTATGTTGTTAGTATTGTCAATCAGTTTATGCACAATCCAAAAGAAAAACACATGCAGACAGTGAAGAGAATTCTTCAGTATCTTAAAGTCACTCCGGGTAAAGGACTGTTATTCCGGCGTGATGGCAATCTCTCTTTAGAAGTTTATACTGATGCCGATTATGCTGGATCCGTAACTAACCGTCGATCTACCACTGGTTATTGTATGTTTCTTTGTGGTAACTTAGTAACGTGGAGTAATAAGAAACATGATGTGGTTGTCAGGTCAAGTGCAAAGGCTGAATTTCGAGCTATGGCTCTAGGCATTTGTGAATTATTATGGTTAAAAATTATATTTGATGATCTTAAAATAAAATGTGAAGGACCCATGAAGCTGCTATGTGATAACAAGTCTGTCATTTGTATAGCTCATAATCCAGTTCAATATGATCGGACTAAGCATATTGCGGTCGACTGCCATTTCATCAAAGAGAAACTTGATAGAGGGTTGATCGTCACTCTATACATTCCCTCTGGGCGTCAATTAGCTGATATTTTGACAAAGGAACTTCCCTCAGATAGATTTCAAGAACTTACTAGCAAGCTGGGAATGATAAATATTTATTCCTCAGCTTGAGGGAGAGTGTTGTAAATAATTATTATTTTATTTATTATTTATTGTTGTATTCTAGAATCTTCCTTGGGCTTAGCCCAATAGGTCAGTTAGTCTCTTTAAATAGAGAACCTTTTGTACAGTTGTAATTATAATTCAATAATATATTTTCCTTCTATTTTTCAAGTAAAAAAAGCTTGTTTTATCTTGTAAGGCATAAGAAGAGTCCAGCAACCCACAATGTAGCTCATTTACAAGGGGCCTTTCTCAAGGCAGGCATCACTTGTTAAACCATTCCTTTTATATTAGCAAGCAGAAAACAAAAGGGTAGAAGCAGTGTAGAGGTGGCCAGAACTAGACCATACTCAATTCAGTCAACTCCCATCACTTTCTCATCACCAATTTCTGCTACTTTATTTCTGAGTACTGGCAGATATACTTTTATGGGTTTCCATCGAAGTAATTACAAATCTGTAGGAAAATATGTTAATATTGCAAATAAAAGCTAAACAAATCTTGTAATACGATATTTGTGATTCTTGTAATTATTAACTCTATATAAGAGCCTCTGTTGTGTAATTCAAACACACAGATTTCATCTTGTCTCTGGTTTTCTCTTCATCTTAATTCTTAAGTCTTAACAGTAGATAACAAAAAGTTGACTTCCCCAGAATACATTAAAATGAAGAAGCACTGAATTTAAACACAATCACCCAAAAAAAAAAAAAACTTTCACCAAAATCTTATTCAAATGGAGCCACATTTGTGGGCAAGCACATGTATAGACAAGTACATAATACGACTTCATACAAAGCCATGACTAATATTTCAACCGCTTGAAGGAAATCATGTCTTCTTGAATTATAAATTTGAAAACAATGAACCGGGCAACTTTTTTTATAGCCAGCTAAAGAAGATCAATTTCACACTTATTTTCAGTTATTCTAATAACTCAGTTGTGATAGAAGCACACCTGATCACATGGTGAGGTGCCACACTCCCCAGAAAGATCATGAACATACAAAACTGCTGTTGGTAAATGGGAAAGGACAGCAATGGTTAACCTTTCCAAATTATTCCTGTCCTCTAAATATCCAAACCAGAAAAAAAAATTAAAAGGAGGAAAATTTTATGTTAGAACTACAACAAAAGAACAGGAAATCAATTGGAATTTATTAAAAATAATTACGAGGCGCAGGAGATCTGAGATCCTCCAACAACTCAAACTCAAAGTCAAGTATTACCATTTATCAACATGGAAGGTTCTATTGAATTTTTAACAAGTCAATTTGCTTTAACTCCAGCTTTCACACCAAGCTTTTTCTTTACACTATTTTTTAGTAGAAAAAAAATAATAAAAACATCATTAACGCAGAAGAGAATTACTCATTCAGAACAACATGGAATTCTCCTAAAAGAAAACTGAAAAATGAATACCAGCTCAAAAGATCTTTGGAGATCTTTGGGTTGAATTGGTTCTTTACAGAACCTTCTAGAGATCTTTGGAGCCAAATAAGTAGCACTACGAAATCTAAGGAGGAGCTAAAGAAACTAAGGTAAAACGGAAATGGACATCACTATCAACGCTACTCTATACTATGCCAGTTGCCAGTATTAGGAAATTAAACCTCAACCAAATGGCAAACCCCTGTGCACACATAACTTTGAGAGGGTAAAGATAAGGGTTGATTGTACACAGCTTTATTCTTACATTTTTGCAAAGAGGTTATTTCCCATACTCGAACCCGTAACCTTCCGATCACAAAGGAGCAACCTTATTACTGTTTCAAGGCTCAGCCTCTAATCCTCAACCCAATGATGGAGTAAAAATCTTTAAGACCTTGGATATATAACATTCACCGCATAAGATAGACTAATACTACTTAAAAATTGAGAAAAATATATGAAATGTTAATTACCATCATGTCTCTTCAACAAGCCTGGAGTATCTGTTACCTACAATCATGTCAGGTATGCAATTACAACTGCATTATATGTAACTAACAAAGACAAACTGCTAAAAAAAATAACAAGTCAAAGAAAATTGCTAACCTGAAACTTATGATAGTTTAAAACAACATGACCCATAAGAATTCCTCTTGTGGTGAAGGGATAGTTACAAACCTGAAATATTAGGTAGAAAGAAAAGGAGAAAGGAAGAGAAAAAAGGTTATATGGACACTGGAATATTTAAATCTTCAGCAACTTATTAGTTTTTGCTGAAGCCTAAAGAAAAATGTGTTGGATTTTAACCTAGCTCTTAGTGTCAAGATTCCTCGTACATATGATCAGTTACGTTCAGGTTCTTTGTTGACAAGTTAATTAGGGAAGATAGGATTTGTGTATTCATTATTGGTGTTAAAATTATAGGGTTTTAGATACAGTAGGAAGAAAAAAGAGAATAAAGACTGACGACTAGTGCAAGATATGAATGATATGGACATTATAATCTCTGTTAGAATGATGAGGCCTGACCCAACCCCAAAAGCACCCTTTATATATGGGCAATCTGTTAAGAAGGCTGACATCTGCTAAATATATGGGCAAAAGAACCCTTTTATAATGATTGAGCAATCCTCCCCCGCTTTATTATGATTGGGTCTAACTCAACCCCAAAAGGCAGCTCAAGGGCTAAATATATTGGCAAAGTACCCTTTATAACAAGCTGCATGTTTATGACATATATGCAGCAGCTTGAGGAGGATTGTTAATATTTCTTGATTTATTTTTTTTATATTTATATATATTTTTTTTTTGGTACAATTTTTTTTTTAGTATTTATTGATTCTTACTATAATTAGAAATAGAAAACCTGCTGTAACTAGTTTTATCAACCCTACAAGTAGGGAATTTCATTCTTGTGTTCTAATAATATAAATTAAAGGGCTTACAGGATTACTCTCAAGCAAACAAAGGAGCTTTGGACTTCCAAATGAGTTTGTCAAGAAGGAACCTTTGATTTAGAGGGGATTGAGTGAGAAACTGAAAGAGGGCTTTATAAGAGAATGAGCCAGAATAATCCAGAATCCAAATTTTTCTGTCAGGACTTGTAGATAAGTGAAGAGTTACAAGTAAAATAAATAGGGATTGTGAGTCACTTGCAGATCATCAAATTTCTACTAAAGTGAAAATCCCAAATGAGGTCCCTGAGTAAAAAGGAAATTATTAATGAGGGAATTAAGGTGGAAAAAAATATAGATAGGAGATGAACTCAATCAAATGACAATAGTGAAAATCGCTGAGATAAGGACCTCAATCAAATTTCTACTAAACTAAAAATCCTAAATGAAATGAGGACCTCCCAAAACTGAATGCAAGTGTAAACAAATACTGATCAGAAGTATTAAAGAAGTTGTTGTAAATAATTATATTTGTAAATAATTATTTTTATTCCTTTAGGTTATTTTAGAAACTTCTTTGGGCTTCGCCCATTAGGTCACTTAATTTCTTTAAACAGAGAACCTCTTGTACATGTTTAATACAATTCAATATACAATTCCTTTTTTCAAGTTGGTATCAGAGCTCTCGACTCTGAGGGCCTTACTTCCACTACAGCCGCCTTTAGTGCGGAACCTTTGTTTCTGGTCCCCGTTGGAGCTGGGCTTTCTGGGCAGTGATTCTCCGTCTCAGACCATCGTTGTTCGGTTCGCCTCTTCTTGCTCTTTCTAGATCTGAGCTTGTTTTGTAGATTGGATGCTATTTAGATATTGTTTGGTTGTGTGTTGTTGTGTTTTTGCCTAAAAGTTCAAACTTTTTGGCTTTTCGAATCTCCTTTGCTCATATCTAACCCTTCCTTTGTTGTTAGGACTCTCCGGATACCGTTGTGCACAATGACAGTTACTAACAGTAGTAGCTCCACCCTTTCAGAGGTTACACAACCCTTTACGTAGTCAGTTGCCCCTCTTAGTCACTGTTGAGATATATAGTCCCACATTGGTTGTATGTGCAACTAATGTGGAGTTTATAAGGTCTTGGGCACTCCCACCCTTTGAGCTAGCTTTTGGGGTGGTGTATCCCAAGGTTCTTTACATGGTATCAGAGCCTCGCCGCCCCCCACTTTCTCTTGTGGCGTTTCTTAGCACAGGTAGGTTGGGCCTGTTGCATTGTCCACTCTTCAAGCCCAATGGGCTCTCGTGTGAGGGGGCGTGTTGAGATATATAGTCCCACATTGGTTGTATGTGCAACTAATGTGGAGTTTATAAGGTCTTGGGCACTCCCACCCTTTGAGCTAGCTTTTGGGGTGGTGTATCCCAAGGTTCTTTACAGTCACAATGACCTTCTTGCCTTACATCTTGGTTATTGTCTTTATGGGACTAATTATTTGCAATGGTCTCAACTTGTTCGCACTATCATTAAAGATAAGGTTGCTCATCTTGATGGCCCCGCTCCTGCCAAAATAGATCCCAAGTTTGTTGAGTGGGATGATGAGGACTCTCTTATTATGACATGGTTATGGAACTCTATGACTTCTGATGTGGGTCATCACTGCATGTTCTTATCTTCCCTAAGGAAATTTGGGAAGCTATTCGATCAACATGTTCTTTGAAACAAGATGTGGCCCACCTACTATGAGTTAAAAAATATAATATTTTCTACCAAACAGGGTTCACTATTTGTGACATCCTATTATGACATTATGAAGGAGTTGAGGACTAAGTTGGATCAATATCAGAGTTTGAAGATGAAATGTACTAAGGATGCTACCGCCTTACCTGCGGGAATAGAAAAAGATTGCATATTTGATTTTTTTGCAGGGTTGAACCTTGAATATGGCCCTATTCGGGTTCAGATACTTGGCAAAGAGAAATTACCATCATTTTCTGTGCTTTTTAATATCGTTAGGGGTGAGGAGACTCGCAGTGGAGTTATAATGAATGCTAAAATATCATATAGGTCTACTTTGTTATTGTCCTCTAAGCCTTCTACTGATTCTATAAGCATTGATGGGTCTGGTATGATCTCGACAAAGAAAGAAGGTTCTTCTCAAGGAGGTTCCTCTAGCAAGACTGCTGATGGTTCTTCCTCTAAGACCAAGAAAGATGATTGTTGATGGTTCTACCTACGTCTTCGAAATTCACTACTATTCCAAGACGAGTTGGGGCGTATTAGGACTATGCTTGATTCTCTGAGTAAGCCATCCGGTACTAGTGCCTTGGCTATGATTGGTATGACTGCCGACTCTTATTCTTTTCTTGCTTCCTGTACTGATTTTAAAATTCTTGGATTGTGGATTCTGGTGCTACTAATCATATGACTTGTTGCACTGATTCTTTTCTTTCTTATCACCCCACTATTGGCACCCATACTATAGTCGTTGCTGATGGTCTAACACATCATTTGCGGATTCTGATAACATACACATACAACCTTACCTGCATCTCAAAAATGTTGTTCATATTCCCTATCTCTCCACCAATCTTCTTTCTATCCATAAAATTACTAAAGATTTGAATAGTAATGTAACTTTCTTCCCTACTCATAGTGTTTTTCAGGAGCTCACCACAAGGAAGACGATTGGGGGTGCTAAGGAGCAGGGTGGGTTGTACTATCTTGTTCCCGAGTTTGCTGCAGATTGTGTTCAGGATCATACATTGATGACTCGCTGCCCGTCTACTTCTGATTCTCTGATTTGGCTTTACCGCAAACGCTTGGGACATCCTCCTTTTAGTCTGCTTAAGTCTTTGTTTTCATACTTGTTTTTATCTAACTCTGTTAAGTCTTTTCATTGTGATGTTTGTGAGTTAGCAAAGCACCATCATATAACTTTTCCTTCTAGTACAATAAAAAGTTTTGAACCTTTTGATCTTTTTCATTATGATGTTTCGGATCCTTCTAAGGCCCTTAAAGTTTCTAATAATAAATGGTTTGTTTCCTTTATTGATGATTGTACTCGAGTAACTTGGATATTTTTTATGCATGGCAAGCCTGAAGTTCCTTAGCAATTTATTTAATTTTATAATATAATTGAGACTTAATTTGGCAAAAATATTAAAAGATTGAGATTAGACAATGGTACGAAGTATGTCAACCAGTACCTTTCCTAATTTATAAGGGATAAGGGAATGATTTATGAACTCACATGTGTCAACACCCCTAAGCAAAATGGGGTTGCTTAGCGAAATAATTGTCATCTTCTTGAAATCACTCGAGCATTACTCTTTCAACAAATGTACCCAATTGTTATTAGGGAGATGCCATTCCTACTGCAGCCTATTTAATCAATCGTTTATCATCCCGAATCCTTGATCATGTAAGTCTTATTCACTCCATGACTTCTTTCTTTCCTTCTGTTTCCATTATGCAGAGTCTTTAGCCCCAAGTGTTTAGATGTGTTGCTTTCATCCAATTTCATAAACAACATCAGAGTAAGTTGGACCCTAGGGCTCTTACGTGTATCTTCCTTGGTTATACCCTTGTTAAGAAAGGCTACAAATGCTATCAGCCTCCTAGCCGAAAATTCCTTGTATCTATGGATGTCACCTTTCATGGATCTAAGTCCTTTTACCCCGATCTTCATCTTCAGGGGAGAGAAGTAGCTCCGATGTCTCTTTCTTTTTTTGAGTCTAAGTCTTCTTCATCATTACCTATATCTCTTCCTGTTTCTGACACTCCAAATTCTGCAAATACGCAACGTGACTTAGTTGATAAGGAACAAAAGGCTAGGACACCTCAATTGGTATATCAGTGAAGGAAACAACCCATATTGTCCCACCAGCAACCTTAATCCTCTGAACTACTAGTAAGTCCTAAATCTCCTGTTTCTGAGCCTAATATTATTGACTCTGATGACTTATCCATTGTTGACTTTGATGACTTACTCATTGCCTTAAGAAAAGAAAAAAGATCTTGCACCTAACTGCTATTATGTAGGTGTCCTAGAGATAATCTGTTTAGTCAAATGAACATTTTTTTCTATTTAGCATTTCATGATTGATTTAATTTGAACACACTTTATCTTTATCATATTTTGTCTCGCCTTTTATTTATGGTTAATATGCATTTAAAGATAAAGGCCCTAGAGATAGAACGGATGCTCACTTGAGAATCTATGATAGGGATCATGATCCCTAGAGATAGAACGGATGCTCACTTGAGAATCTATGATAGGGATCATGATCATGAGGACCCGAGTGCACTAAATGTCTATTGCCTGAAAGCTGAAACTTGTTCCTAATCTTGAATCACCAAGATAGGGCACTGGTGATCTCAATAAGACCAACACGGCAACATCTATTTGTATGGAGATACAAGGAAAGGACCTCATGGAATGGAGGCATGGTGATGCCTTAGCTGATGTCGTGGGTGGATCTGTTAGAAAACAGATGGCACCGAACTAACCCACTGAGAGACTCCATAAGGATTCATTGTAAAGAGTATCATTGGATTTGTAATGTCTTTCATCGTTTGATAGTGCAAATCGTCCTGATTGAGGATGTCATCAAACACTATGTCCTAGGGTTATACTTCGACTGTACAACTCTATTTTCCTGAAAACAGGGAAATCATTGTACTCTTGGATATAACTCGAATACATGAGTATAGATAGACATACCGATAGGACTCATAGTCCCCTACAAGGGATTAGTCGTTTAGACTCGAGAATCTGTGCACAATAAAGGATCATGAGGAGTCATATATCCACCTTAGAGTCATTATAAGAAAATTCCTAGTTTTGTGAAAAAGCTACATTTAGTCACACAAGAAAGATAATACTCTATCATTGCTCTCTACTAAGTGTGAACGACGATACGAGGGATGATGCCAGCACGGTCTCCAAATCAAAAAGGTAGATCACTTGATCAATTCAATTAGTTTTGGGGCTGCAGAGCATTGCTCGTGTCTTATGTGGTCATAAGATAAATTAAGCCCATTAAAGGAGTTTCATTGGTCGAAGTTTACCCATGTTAGTGACTAATTAGGCTTAATAGATCACACATCAAGATTGTTCTTGATGGCGTGTTATAGAAAGTTTAGGCCAATATTGGGCTTTAGTCAAGACTGAGTGAAATTTCTCAAACACACCATGCACCCCATTTGGGCTTTAGTGTTGAAATTTGTTTCTCCACTAATAAGTCCAAATGTGTTAGAAAGCCCAATAGGGTCTGGGCCATGAGTCCTAGTAAGCCAAGGAGCTAACTGGATTAAAATGAGTTTTGTCACAAATCTTAATTTGAATTTCAAAATTCAAAATTCAAATTTTGGATTCAAATTTAAATTATGAACTAGGATAAGAATGAATTTGAATTCAAAATTGAAATTTAAGTTTAAATTTGAATTTAAGTTCAAATTCGAAGTCAAGAGGATAAGTGGATAAGGATAATTTTGAAATATCCAAAGCACTATCCAATTGGGATTGGATAAGGCTTCATGAAATTGTTGAAGCAACAACATGGAAAGGATAAGAATAGGTGCGAATTTTTCAAGTGGAATCTTCTAAAACCCATTTGAAATTTCGAATATCATGATAGGCTCCATGAAGGTTTGAATTTCATATTCAAATATGTTTTGTGATTGGGACAAAATTCCAAATGGTTCTAGAAACCATTTGAATTTTGAAATTCATGAAGCACCTTCAGTTGGTCATTTGAATTTTGAATTCAAATGTGGAGAACGGTCCTCCAACTACATGATATGATCAAATATAAGAGGATTCAGAAAATCCTCTTAGAGGAAGCTGTTGAGTGGAATTCAAAATTAGGAACAAATCTTAATTTAAGTGGGCTTGTTAGGCGCCACTTTTATGAGTCTTTTCAAGAGACATATGCAGCTTACTTTTGCTTCATGAAAACCTAAGTTTTGAACGCCCCTTACATACCTCCATTCCTCTATTGATATGCCCCACACTTAACCTTATGACACAATTATAGTCTTTAGAAAATTAACTCAGACACTTGATAGCATTCAACCTTGCATTCGCCTAGCAAGCACCAAGGAAGGAGGGATTAAGGAGAAGGAGTTCTTGCACACTATCAAGGGACAATCGTGTAAATCAACATTAGAGGACACCATACTCTTTGGTGTCTTCAGGTGATCAAGAGTGAAAACTACAACCCCTGCGTGTTTTTAATTAATCGATCCTAAGGCAACTTATGAGGATCGTAAGGTGTTTAAGGTTTCACAATGAAGAACAAGATCGAAAAAAAAAAAAATTCACCTTCATGAGCGAGTTGTTTATATGACAAGTGACTCACATTTTAACTTTCACAACATCCTATCTCCTGGTTTGTCTCTTCTAATAACCTGTATGTGCAGCATGGAAGCTTTACTTCAGCACCAGATTCAATCCCAATCCCGAAATCAATGCACGAAGCATTGAAAGATGGGAATTGGGTCCAAATGCAAGATAAAATAGATGCTTTGAAAAATAAAATATGGGAAGTCGTTGATAGGCCTAGTGGAAAGAACGCAATAGGGTGTAGATAGGTGTATACTCTAAAGTATAATTTTGATGGTACTCTTGAGAGATATAAGGCTTGATTAGTAGCCAAGGGTTACACTCAGACCTATGATATTGATTATGAAGAAATTTTTGCTCCAGTTGCAAAAATGAACACTATAAGAGCCTTATTATCCCTTGCTACACATTACAATTGGGACATAAATCAATTTAATGTGAATAATGTTTTCCTCAACATTGAGTTAGAAGATGTCTACATGAAAATCCCACCAGGATTTGACTCTACAGATGGAGAAAATAAAGTTTGTAGGCTGAGAAAGGCCTTGTATAAGCTGAAGCAATCCCCTCGTGCCTGATTTGAGAGATTGACTAAGGTTATGATGGTCTTAGGATATAAAAAGAATCAAGGAGAACACACATTCTTCTTTAAACATTCACAAGATGGTAAACTCATTGTCCTCCTTGTGTATGTAGATGACATTATTATAATAGGGGATAATATAATGGAGAAACGTGTCTTACGAGAACGACTAGCCTCTGAATTTGAGGTTAAGGACCTTGGGAGATTGAAATATTTCCTAGGGATAGAGCTAGCTCATTCAAAAAAAGGAATCTAGCTTATTCAAAAGAATGAATCTATATTAATCAAAGGAAGTATGTCCTTGATCTTCTTAAAGAGGCAGGAAAACTTGGGTGTAAACCCTCTAGTACTCCCATCGAGCAAAATCACAAAATAAGCAATGAAGAACAGAGTCCTTTAATTGATAAAGGACAATATCAACAACTAGTGGGGTGGTTAATATATCTGGCTTATACTAGACCTGATTTAGCTTATACGGTTGGTATTGTCAGCCAGTTCATGCATAATCCAAGGGACAAACACATGCGCGTAGTGGAAAGAATTCTTCGATATCTTACAGCTACTCCTAGTAGAAGGCTATTATTCTGGCGTAGAGGAAATCTTTCCTTAGAAGTATAAACTAACGCCGATTATGATGGGTCAGTGACTGATCGTCGACCTACCACCGGCTATTGCATGTTTTTTTGTGGCAACCTAGTGACAAGGAGGAGTAAGAAACAACATGTGATTGCTAGATCAAGTGCAGAGGCGGAGTTTCGAGCTATACCGCCATCTGTATAGCTCATAATTCAGTCCAAAATAATCGAACTAAGCATATTGAGGTTGACCGCCAATTCATCAAAGAGAAACTTGATAGTGGGTTGATTTCCACTCCATACATTCCCTCGGGGTGCCAATTAGCTGATGTTTTGACAAAAGAGCTTCCCGCTGATAGATTTTAAGAACTTACTAACAAGCTAGGAATGATAAATATATATTCTCAGCTTGACGGAGAGTGTTGCAAATAATTATATTCGTAAACAATTATTTTTATTCCTTTAGGTTATTCTAGAAGCTTCTTTGGGATTAGCCTACTAGGTCACTTAATCTCTTGAAATAGAGAACCTCTTGTACATGTTTAATACAATTCAATATACAATTCCTTTTTCCAAGTGAAGCATATCCCTGAGAAATGAACTTTGTGCTTAGCAAGGACAGCTGGATTTGCATTCAACCATTCTGATCTAAAGCATACTTATATTTGCATCTAAAACTATAAATTTGGTATTTATATTTGCACACCCAGTCAAGAGTAACTATCCACTAAAGAGTCTTCATCATTTTAAATGCATTCATATTCTAGAAAAAAAAAATCCTTTTTACGGAGTCAAAGAAGAAAAAACACTAAAATCATGACAGAAGGCACTTGAGCACTTCTGAAACCCCATCACAGAACCATTGGAGATAGTCACAGATCAACCGAAAAAGATTCACATTATAACAGAGAATCAGTCGGAATTATAATCATTATCCAGCAGTGGCAACTTTAACCAAGGTTAATTGTATGATATCATCATATGCCTATCAAATCTTTTGGGCAGACCCATAAGAAGGAAATAGAGAGAGATGCTTGAAATGTAGAATTTATAAGGTCAGACTAGTTACCTTAGCAAGATCAACAATTCAATTCAAGCTCGGCTTTATAAAAAGCCTAAAATATAAACAGTGTGCGTAAGAAGGATTTTAACAAAGATATTCAAACAATTGGCTGCACACCTCAGGCTTGCCAGTAGAGAGTATATGGACCAAAGAAGATTTGCCCACATTAGGAGCTCCAACAAGGCAGAGTGTTGGTGTTTCCAAATTAATTACAGGCATTGCCCTCAGAGTCTGTAAAATTTATCAGGTATCAGCTAGATGATATGAATTAGCTCAGAAGGAAAATTATTGAAGAAAAAAAGATTAAGCATCACAGGCCACCCAAATTGTGAAAATTGATATGTATATTGACAGCAAGCATGTGTGTGTGTGTAAAGAGAGAGAGAGAGAGAGAGTATACGAGCGTCAGAAGTGTTAATCTTTACCATTTAATCTTATAAGGATGGTCAAGATTAGTTTCAAGTAAAACCAATCTTGACCATCCATGTATGATTGTATGGTCAGCATTTTGCTCTTCTCACCTCTCATGCTTCTCACTTGATATGCCTAAATAGTAAATATATATATATGATACAGCAGACATAGGATTTCATATGATGAAAATGCAGAATACCTTTGCTATGTCTAACAAATCGTCAACAACTTTCCGTTCTTGAGCAAAAATCTCTTCAATTTTCGTAAGACCCTGCATAACATCATGGCATATACTGAAATCTTCAGAGAAATTAGAAACCAGATGTTTCCTCACAAGATATGAAATTCACCTCATTCAGTCTTTCCTCTGCTTCTCGCTTTGATGTAGACTGTTACATGATGAAAGGATATCAATCATGTTAAGAAAGCAAAAGATGGCAAAATACACAGTGATATGATGAATATATAAAGAGACATCAGAACTCTCCATCTGATAGAATCAATTTCAGAAAAATAACAGATTGATATCATGATACAAAAACTGACAAGGGCAAGGCTTCCTGCTTTAAGGATGAAACAATGGAGACCATAAAAATGATATAAAGATCTCTTCAAAAATATTTAAACACCATAAAATCATATAAATGTGAAGACAAGATTTTATACCTTTGACAAGAACAAATTACAATGGAAGTCTAGACCTAGAAGGACTCCTACTTTTGCCAACTAAAACTTCATAAAAATCCGTGCAAATAAAACTTTCAAGCAGCATGTCAACGGCAGAATTACCCAGCCAAGAAATTGTTAAAGGTAAATTAGAAAATAAACCTTAGCACAAAGTGAAGCATGTTCCTTTCCAACAGATACTACCCTCTTCCTTAAACGATCTACCTTCCCCAGAACCTGTTAAACAAATTTAAATCTGCAATTAGAAAATGTCAAAATGAACAACTATATATAAATATAGCCATTGACCACAAATATGTGTTGATGCAGCCTTTTAAAAATGGGACTGATAAATAATCATAACTTCATAAGACTATATATGTCCTACAATAATTAAGGGAACATGCCAACGGAAGTCAATAAACACATGTTCAGTGCTGCAATGCAATTCTGCTAAAATACCTTTTCATAATATCCATCTCCAAGAGTCAGCTCAATAAGAGACCTTTCATAAGGATGAAGATATGTTTTGTTAGGAAAATTCTCCACATACGTCCTCAAGGGAATAGCAAGTTCCTGCCAAGAGCTGTAATGTTAACTTTTGCTACATTCTTTTTATATAAAATGGACAATAGACGCTGGAATAGACATTATAGACATATTTCAAAATTAAAAACATACTTTCATCAGTGCATCAAGTTGCTTTGCACCCTTGTTTTTCTCTCTTTTTGCAATATTGGCAATTCCTACAGTTTGCACAAACAATAAATTTTATGTCGACCGTTGGATTTAAGATGTAAACACAAATGTCAACTTGGAATTAAAGAACATAATTGCAGTCAAGAACCTTTTGTTGGAGAAATCCTCTTTGCCTTTCTCAGTGCTGACCCAAGAATGTCAACAGATGGCATCACTATAGGCAATTTTTGAAATGCTCCAATAGATTCAATTTTTCCAGATGGCTTTTCCTTCAATTTGAATATTTAAATGGTAACACTAGTAAATCTTTTTTCCAAACTACCATAAAGACACTCTTAAGTGGGACTAACATAATAGAATATTTAGATAAAAAAATAAAAAAACACGGGTTGTCAAGGTTAAAGAAAAGACTGAGAACATGACACTTTTGAATATGACAATATACATGTGTGTGTGTAGAGAGAGAGCGCGCAAAACGAACACAAACATGAACAAGCAAAGACTGAATAATAAACAGAAACATTGTAAACGAAGCGCCCTTGAAAGTAAAAGTACATGCTAATTGACATCCATCAGGAAAAAAAAATCATTCATGTGTTTCACCTAATAACTTAAACTTTTGAAAGAGTTAGTCCATGTCATGGTATCAAAGCCTCTATGACCAAGTGGTCTAGAGTTTGATTCTTGTTGTAAGTTGTAACCATTCTTCTAATAAAAAAGTTGATATTTAGCACAAGGTAGGTAGGCATGTGTCCTGTCCAAACTTCAAAGTCAAAGAGCTCTTGCGTGAAAGGGCATGTTAGAGATAAAATATAAAACCATTCATGTGTTTCACATAACAATTTAAGCTTTTAGAGAGTTGGTTTATGACAATAGCAAAAGTAACACACGAAAAGAAAATTGATATGAGTAATGTAAATTAGATAACCTAACCATGACATATTGCATATGAATATAATAACGTCCTATTTGTTGAGAGTCTAAACAAGTTGATATTCTAGATTACATCTACTGCTTTCCATGGTATTTTAATTTGGGCGGGCTAGAATTGAGTTTAATATGTCATTCAAATAATTGCTCCCATTGACTGGCACTAGAGATCATGAACGGTAGGCAACATTTATTTAAAAAGAGAAAAAAAGTAGCTACCACAATTTTTACAAAGCACAAAGAAGCATACATTGTAGAAACAAGTTGATACTGACATGGAGCTTCTAAACAGCAAGAACATATATCAGGAGATCAATGTTTTATATGGTTTTCACATTGCAACTGTTGATAGAAGTTAATCCTGTTGGTGACCGTAGAACAAAGAAATGCTTCGCCCTTGTTATTAATCCTGGCTTCCCATTAAGAATTTAGCAATAGAGAAAATATTCCTGTTTGGAGACTACTTAAAGAGTTTTAAAAATTGAAGAAAATGAATAGAAAAAAGCAAGAAATGCATATGGAATCTCAAAGCATTTATCCTCCTTATACATATTTTAATGCATAAAATAAGTGGCTAAGCCATTGGCTTCTAGATAAAGATAGGTTAACCCATCTTCATATCCATCTTGATTTATTAGACATTCTGTCATTCATTTCTTTGTGAGCAAAATAACTTTCATGATAGGCCACTGGACATTTACAGTTGTAGAAGCAATACATACCAATATATTCTTTTCTTTTGTCTGCTCCACAGTGGGATGATAGCTTCCATTAGCAACTTCATATGAATTAGTTTGGATTCTCTTACAGAAGCACAAGATGGGATGCATTTTTGCCTTGTGTGTTCCTGCATTATATACCCAATTATAAGCTATTCCAGAAAGTCTATTTAAAAATAAAACAGAGCTGTGACCAAATGGATGCTAAAAGCAAGAGCCAACTATGAGAATATGCAAGACATGAAGAAGAGGAAAAATAAAATAAAAGGATTCAAGAGCATGATATAATTCAATTAACATTTGAAGGCTGAAATAAACAAATTTGAAGAAGAATAAAACTTCACCCATTACAAGGAATAACAGAAACTAAATAAAGAATCAATAATAAAGCTCTAAAACAAAAAAAAACAAAAAAAAAAAAACACCCTTTGAAAGTAGGAACATGGAAGTGTAGTGAACCTTTGGAGGTTGGGAAGAGTAAGATGGAGGAAGGAATGTGGGCTTTGAGGAAAAGAGTGGAAGGGGTTCTCATGTCTTTGCTTGTTGTTCTCGATTAAGCGTATGGCTTCGGATTCGGAGATGGAGGCAACGGCTAAGTTAGAGAAGGTAGCAAACTGGTTTTGTATCTTTCGGGTTCGGAAAATTCTATGATTTCAGTGGCTGCCCTGTCTGTAGATGGGGTTTATTTTCTTTTGTTAAATTATACTTTTACTCTATTACGATTTATTTATTGGGAAAGTTTATATTTATTATTTTTTTTTATTATCAAATCTTAATCATTGATTTTTATTAATCTAATAGTTATAAATAAATTATAATCGTTAAATTGACAAAAATCAACAGTAAAATTTGATAATAAGAAATAATAAGTAAAAAAAGTAATAAGTATAACTCCCTATTATTTATTTATTAAGAAGCATAATTAAGGAAGGAGGATGCAGAAAAAGATGAATAGAAAAAATAATAATAATAAATTTTAAATTCATATAATCTCATGTCTATCAACTTATAACCTAAGAAGATCTGTTTGTGTTTGGTTGAAGGAATTTTTTAAAATTTCCGAAAAAGTGATATTGGTAATTTTATTTCCCGACGAGTGAATATACTTTGTTATAATATGGTATGTTAGGTGAAAAATCACCATCATTAATTTATAGTTTAATCATCACAATTTTAACGATGAAGTTTGCAAAATAGAGAAATGAAAATTGTCATTTTAATTGATGACCGGTGATATTTTTCAAACAATGAACTCATGTGATTTGGATCAGAAAAGCCTAGACGTTGGTTAATTGTAATATCCCATAATAATAATAATAATAATAATAATAATAATAATGTGTACTCTTATGTATGGTGTTATAGGCATTTTTGATTTCTAATAGTGTGTCATAATTTGACTTAAAAATTGTAACCTTAATTAGTGGTGTTTTAGTTGTAACATTCAGCAGTTCTGGTAGGTTATCATTTAAATAGTAAATGACAACAATTATTTTTATTTAATTTTGTAACCATTGATATATTAATAATAGTTAAAATAATTATGATGACCATTGATATTACTTGTAGTTTCAATAATTGAAATAAGTATACGACTTTTGATATTACCTGTAGTTAATGTTTCGGTTTCAAAACTACAGTTATAAATAGGACCTTTCTTCATTTCTCTTCTTCTCTACTTTCTCTCTTCTTACTTCAAATCATTATTTATTTTATTTTATTATTATTTTTCTTTGGTTACCAACTGTTTTCTCACTTTTCTTCTAGAAGGTAGCCAATACGGAGACAAGGTAATCCTAATCCCTAGATATTTGTAGGTTATCTCTTTTATATGAAATTTGGGCATAATCCTTATATGTAATCTTAATCCCTATGGAAAGGGTTAGCTTTATATGAATTTTTGTTTGATGTAATCTCGATGCTTAGGGTACTATAGTTATGTTTTAGATTAAATTTATCAGAGTCATTCTTATCTTCATGGAATAATCAATTAATTTATTTTAAATTTATATAATCCTATTCTCTATGTGCTCAGAGATTATATTTAATTTGGTATAAGTAATCCCTTAGGTTAGATATGAAATTTGTTGGATGTATCATATTCCTTTAGAAATAATAGATTCATTATATATGAATTTTGTTTGATATAATGGGATATTACAAAAGATAAGTTGATAGTGTGATTATGATATTTAGAGAGTAATATATATATATATATATATATATATATATATATATATATATATATATATATATAAAGTAAGTGATTCTAATCCCTAGGTATCTTAATCCTCAGGGCATCTTAAATTATTTTTAGATGAAATTTGATATATGTAATCCTTTAGGTGATCGTAGGATAATTTTATATTAAAATTGTTAAATGTAATCTTAATCTTTAGGAAATTTTAGGCTGTTTTCATATATTATATGTAACCCTTAGGTTATTTAATTAAATTATTTTAATCTCTAGAAATTAATTGGATTAATTATTGGACTTTGGCTTTACTCTAATAGATGTGAATATTTGAATTCTGATTTGAAAAATTATGATATGATGATTGGATTTGAGTTTTACTCTTTGAATTCTGATTTGAAAAATTATGATATTATAATTGGATTTGAGTTTTACTCTAGTAGATGTTGAATATGAACATTATGATATTTTGGATAATGGATTTAAAAATTATGATATTCTTGAAAAATTGAATTTAGAAATTATACTCTCGATTAAATTGATGTGGAAATTATGAAAAATATTTGAAAAAATTTTACAATTATAAATATTGTGATAAGATTGAATTTCATTGTTTACGTGTTATTGTAATAAATAATAGTAGGGAAGATAGTTTTTGATATGGTACTTCCTGAAAGTGACCAACACAATCTCTTTGGGCTTTATGCCTTTCATATTTATTTGATGTGAGTCAAATTCATCAACTCAAATAATTTTCCTATGGGACTCAGTCTTCTCAGCAAGTTTTTATTCGACTGTTTGTGTCAAGAAAAGAAAAACAAACAAAAGATTGGAACACTATAATAGTAGTGTCAATATTCAAGAATGTGACAACCAAGAATAAGAGAATACAGAAAGAATACACAAATTTATTTTACATATCAAGTTAAAATCAGGATCTGTATGGATGTACACCACACATTCAGACAATAACTTAACTCCGATTTACCCTCTACAAACAATAAAGCTATTAAAATGCCTCTACAATAAAATAATAGTAGATATATTACATCTGGGTCCAGCCAACCCATAATCGATCGCGATCAGTTACAGTTTAGTACAAGGGGAAGAAGAAACTCAGCTAGCAGCCAAGATCATCTTACCCAAGAAACAGAATCAATTTCATCCCTTGCTGCTTTATATAGTTCAAGCCTTTTTGCACACTGTTGCCTCCTCTCCATCAGTCCAGGATCTTCGTCTAACATTTGTGATAGCTGTTTACCCTATAGCATGCAAAATCTTATCAAGGATATGTTGAAACTACGTAAAAAAGATTGTGCATAATAATGTACAACATGGTGGAGTATGACGAGGCTCGACCTAGACTAAATGAATAATAGATGAACCAGTAGAGAATGAAAAATTAAAGGAGAGTTTATCATGACATACAGAAAATCATCATACGACATTTGCTTCAACCAGAAGTTATTTATATCATTTACAGTATCTCATAACACAGCAGGCATGACACTGATAATTGTAATTATCAAATTGAGTAACTAGACACATTTAACTCTTCCCTCCCTCACTCACACACACAAAAAAAATACTTATATGCAGATGGTACCTTGATAGGTAATTTACTACCCTAAACTACAAATAATATATCTCTTTTTTTCCCTAATATATAGAAATGACCTGCCACATTAAAAGCTTGTTTGGATGAGCTTTTTTCTCTCCAAAAGCTTCTCACTACAAAGACCATTTGGATGTTTGTTTTAAAAAAAAAACATAAGTCACAAAGAAAGCCAAAAACCTACTTTTTTTAGAAGTTAAAAATTTTAACTTCTAAAAAAAGCAGAAGTCAAAAGCCAAATATTTTTTTCAAAAACCAAATATTTTTTTAAAATTCTAAATAGCTTTACCTTTTGTAAAAAACACTACTAAAATAAAAAGTCCTTTTTTTACAAGTCCATCCAAACAGGCAATTATTGTCTTCTATCAGCGGTTTTGCTTAACTGAAGCTACTGAGCTACAAAAACCCATCGAGTAAAAAAGGTTACTCTCTAATGGATCAGGTCAACAACTATCAAAATCTACGAGACCAGATGAGGCTAGGATTCATACTACTTGCCAACAATATTCATGTTCACACAAAATAGATAAAGTGATAAACAGACACACACACAGAGAGCAAGAGAGAACACACCTCTTTCTTCCCTATTTGTGTGTAGAAATGATTTAGCAGAGACAGTTTCGCTTGTCTGACCTGACAAAAAACCACAGCCTTTGGAATTGTGTTCCTAAGCGTGTCTGCCACCAACCCTATATAGGATGACACATTTGATCCAATTCTCCTGAAATGCCCCTCTGCATAACGGTCAACATTCGAGGTAGCAGGAGTTCCAGTTTTCTCTATTTCTTGAGGAAGTCTCCGGAAGAAATCCACAGTGAGATAAGAAGATTCCATATCTACAAGCCGAAGAGTTGTCTTCTTACCCTCTTCCCGAAACCTGTCCAAAGCCTCATTTGCAGCTGCAGCTAGTGCAGCTTGAAAAGTTGGGAAGCGCTTCAGTTCCTGCTTAGTCACATATTAAAATCTTTACAGACCATCGGCTAGCACTTCATAAACAAAGTAACTATAAAAATATGCTCCTGAAACTTACCTGAGTTTCAGCTATTGACTTCCTCACAAGTTCTTTCAAAACAAAATTAACCTACAGAAAAATTAAGAACAGACAGCTTAATTCTTTTAATGTTAGAACAAAATTAATACCGAGAATATAATAAGGCTGCTTACAGCATCTACTGAAGCTTCAGCTGGGCCTCTAAAGTAATTGAGAGCCCCCTCAATCAGGCGCCTGTAACCTTGCTCCGGTGCAATCAAGTGAGGCTGATATCCATCAGCCTCAGATACCACTTTCCTTACATTCTGGAGAGAAAGATGCCGTTCAAAGGGAAGCTTTCGTAAAGCAGCAGGAAGTTGATTGTCAAAGACATTATATATCCTATCTCCTCCTGGCCTCCTAAAAATAAAAAAATAAAAATATTATGTAAAAAAAGAGACCTATCAACTGGTTCATCAGTGATAACAAACTTGCATCCAAACAATCATTTAAACTGTTTTGGCTATGTCTTTTACCTTATGCAGTGGGCAAACTGCATCACAAAGGTTCCTTTTGCTAAAATCATTTTTTCATTCAGCATAAGTGTTTTACAACAGACCATTAAACATTTTAGGTAGTGCACTAAATTTTGTCAGCACCTAATATATCAGTGTATAGTGGTTTGTCCACGATAGAACCAGCTCGAAAAAGCAAAACTCAGGAATTAGGTAGGTCAGAGAGAGAGAGAGAGAGAGCATTATTGCAAGTCTGCAAGATCCCATTCAAGATATAGATAAATGTTAAAAAAATGCCTCAGACAAGCAAATTTCAGTGATAGCATTATCAACTATCATTGATAAACTGAAGCAACTAACAACTCGATGGTTCAGACAAGCAAATTTGAGGGTCAGCTTAGGCAATGGGAACAATGTGCATGGAAATGATGTGTGCCAGCAAGTCTATCTACATTTACAAAGGGCACATTTTGTCCAAAAAAAATTTCAATTTAACCTACGGATTGTTAATATAATAGTGGGTTTTACAATAAGATGGGGCTTTTTACAATCTTTTCAATAAGATTCTTCAGACAAATAAGATGCATGAAGGAAAATTATCATTGTGCCTATTTACAAAAATAAGGGAGATATACAGAATTGTTCTAACTTTAGGGGCATTAAGCTAATGAGTCATACTATGAAGTTGTGAGCGAGAGTTATTAAACATTGCTTGAGGAGAGATACCAAAATTTCTGTAAATCAATTTGGATTTATGCCAAGAAGATATATCACAGAAGCCATTTTCTTGATGCGATAATTAATGGAAAGATATCGAGAAAAGAAAAAGGACTTACATATGGTATTCATAGATCTTGAGAAAGCATATGATAGGGTTCCAAGGAAAGTCTTATGGTGGGTTCTTAAAAAGAAAAAAGTACCATTAAAGTATGTAAAGGCAATCAAGGATATATATGATGGGGCTACTACATGTGTGAATGCTTGTAATGGAACATCAAGTTATTTTCCTATCATGGTAGGTGTACACCAAGGTTCGGCTCTAAGTCCTTATCTTTTTGCCTTAGTTGTAGATGAACTAACAAAAGATATTCAAGAGGAAGTGCCATGGTGTATGCTTTTTGCAGATGATATTGTGCTTATTGATGAGAACAAAGACGGTGTTAACAAAAAACTTGAATTGTGGAGAAGCACGTTAGAATCTAAAGGATTCACGTTAAGTCGGAGCAAGATTGAGCATTTGAAGTGAGTTTTCTCTGGCAAGAGATGTAGATCAACATCCCGTGTATCTACTTGGTCAAAAGGTACCCAAGAAAGATGCTTTTAGACACCTGAGATCCATTTTGCAAAAAGGAGGAGAGATTGATGAAGATGTAAATCATAGAATCAGAGTAGGGTGGATCAAATGGCGTAGTGCATCTGGATTTTTGTGTGACCGCAAAATCTCCTTTAAGTTAAAAGGAAAATTCTATAGAACAGTCTTAAGGCCTGCAATGCTATATGGAGCTGAATGTTGGCCAGCACATAGGCAACATGAGCATAAAATGGAAGTAGCAGAGATGAGGATGTTAAGGTGGATGTGTGGTTATACGAGGATGGATAAGATAAGAAATGAAGAAATTCGACGAAAGGTAGGAGTACTACCGGTAGCTGAAAAGATGAGAGAACATAGATTGAGGTGGTTTGGCCACGATGAGAAGGCCCCTGGATGCTCCCGTAAGAATAAAAGTTTGTTATCAAGAGCTCAACACAAAGAAAGGTAGAGGTAGACCGAAACTTACTTGGGTGAAAATAGTAAAAAAAGGCTTAATGGAGTGGGATATTGTAATACCCCATATTTTTTATTAATAAAATAATAATAATAATATAATAATTTTTTTGGATAATAATTATATTTAGTAATTAATAATATTGGTATTTAATATTTTTAATTAATGAGTTAGTTATAGTTAAAATAATAAGATGTAAGATAATAATAATAGTAATATTATTTGATTTATATGATAATAATAATAAACTATAAATTAGTAGTAATAATATATATATATATATATATATACATTTATTTATATATTTGATGGTGATAGATAACAAATTATAATTTTTACCTTTTATAAAATGATTTTTGTGTGATATGTGTTATTGAAAATTTATTTTGATACTTTGTAATATTCTAGATTATTTATAAAATAATATTAATACGTATATGTATATATATATATATATATATATATATATATATATATATATTAGATGATAAGTTATGATTAATTGATTTATTAATTGATTGATGATTTATGTATTAATGTTTGATTAATAATTTGATTAGATATGATGAGTCAATCATGAGTCAGCCTTGAGTTAGCAAATAAGTTAGTTATATTCTAAGAAATTAAGAATAAAAAGAAAATAATGTATGAAGCCAATATCTGAGCCAGATACATCAATGAAGAATAAGGAAATAATTGCACAAAATTCATACCCAAACCCAAAATTTCACCTATAAATAGAGGCCTAGCCTAACCAAACCAATTCACTCTTTAACATTTCTCCTCTACTACTCTCTCTTTTCTTACTTCAAATGTCTATTTTTATATTATTTTGGTTATCAACCGGTTCTCTGCCCCAAATTATTCTCTTCTAGAAGTTAGCAAAAATGGAGATCAGGTAATCCTTATCCCTAGGAAATTGTAGATTATCTTTTAAATGAAATTTATTATATATAGTCCCAATCTTTAGTGAATCGTAGGGTAATTATATATGAATTTTATTGGGTTTTAACCCCGAGAAGATAACATGATTAATTATATAATTATTTTTGTGGAATAATTCAAATTTTTGAAAATTATGATTATGGTATCCTTTGGAAGATTATTTATGTGTCACATGTGTGATACGAATCCTATTGAATAATTGTGCATATTATGATTTTGATACCTTGGAAAATTATGATAATTGATATGATTGATGTTGGAAATATGATGAGTGGATTTGGGCTTTTTGTGAAAAATGTTGGATTTTGAGTTATGATATTCTTGAATAAATTGGAAAAACTATGATGAAGGATAATTGATATGATAGATATATTGTAATGGATACAAGATTGAATTTTTCCTGATTGCGTGTGATTGTAATAAATTAATGGTGGGAAGATAGCTTTGAGATGGTACCTCCCAAAGTGATGAACACAACCTTTGGGCTTTTATGCCTCTGATAATTATGTGATGTGAAAAGAGAATATCCGTTCTTCTCAAAGTGGTATCTGGCAGGATATCCGGGATACTAGTAGCAACTTTGGGAAGAGGTGTCTGGCAGGATATCCGGGACACTAGGAAGATGTGAATTGATTATGGCCAATGTGATATGTTTGTGACTGGCAGGATATTCGGGTCACTAGGAAGATGTGAATTGATTATGGCCAATGTGATTTGTTTGTGACTGGCAGGATATTCGGGTCACAGGGTAGACTGGCAGGATCTCCGGGTCTACCATGGTTCTCTTCCCACTAAATACAATGAACTTAAACATTATTAATAATGATATTTGTTATTTGATTTGATTATGATGAATGTCATTGAGTTGTGAATATTATCATATTATGATTAATGTTGTGCTAAATATGTTAGTTGATAATTACCAAATACGCTAAATGAATTTAATAAAGATAAATATTATATAATAATAATTTTGATTATTATATTGATATTTGATTTGATTAACGTGGAATTGATTTGAATACTATTTGATATTTGATTTAATTTGTTATTAATTACATAAATTGTATTTTGATTGGGATTGTCAGCTTTGCTGCTTTGCTGACTTTTGTGTTTGTTTGACTGCAATGATCCTGCGAGGCTGGGGGGAGCAGAGTTTCAGTGAATCAGGATACAAAGGATTGGGCTAGCAGTGGGCAGTGAGGATAACTACTCAGAGATTTTCAGCTAATCCTAAAATTTTATGTATAAGACATATCTTTGATTTTATTGTAATATTTATGAATGTAATAAAGAGCCTTGCACTTGTCCCTGTATAGGTGCGGCGGTAACATTTCCCCAAATTAGATTTACATTAGCTTCCGCAATAGATATGAGATCTTAATAATTAGTTAAATGTTATTTTTTTTGAAAATTTTCTAAAGAATAGGAATATTTTATTGTTGTTAAAATTGTTAGAAATTTGGGGGTGTTACAAATATAGATTGGCGGACGGTGTGCCTTAGAACGGAATGGAGAAAAACTATAAGCATGGTGGAGTGTTAGACCCGTTGTTATTCCTATGTTCTAGATGATCTCTTTTTAGTTCTTTTCCTCTACATCTCCCCCCTCTTTTTCTTTTCCCCTTCTTTTATATATATATTATTACTATTTTATTTTTTTATTTTTATTTTTTATCTTTTTTCAACCCTTTCTTATCTTTTATTTGGGTTCCTCTTCCACCGACCCCAATTAGTTTGGGATAAAGGTGGTGTTGATGTTGATGTTAATGTTGATTGTTGATATAATAGTGGGAGTGGAACGACTATCATATCTTGGGGAGGTTAGAAGTAATTGGAAAACCAAACCATGCGATTAGCTGGGGTGATCGTCCCTACTCAGATAAGAAACAACCTTGAAAAGTACGTGGAAGTCAATGAAGGTTGAGGTGAGGGTTCCTCTACCAGGAACTTATGCAGGCTAAGTACAGAGGGGCGAGGGGAAACTAGCACAACCATTGGATGATTTGTTGAAGGAGTTTCAGCACCTGTTTACAGAACCTTGAAGGCATCCAACCAAGAGAGCCTGACACTACAAATACCCTCATTTCCTGAATAATAAAGTGGAAAAGCTTGAAGGGAAAATGTTACCGTAAGGGATTAGAGTCCATTTTCTAGATCATTGCTACTAGTAAGAAAAAAAAATTGGAGGTTGGAGGTTTTGTGTAAATTACATAGCATTAAACAAAAACCTGAAATTACTCATCTTGAAGGACTTGTTCCTACCAAAACAGATCCAAAATTTCCTAATTGGGATGACGAAGACTCTTATTACAACGTGGCTTTGGAACTCTATGACTTCTGAGGTTAGTCAACATTGCATGTTCTTACCTACCGCTCTTGAGATCTGGGATGTTCTTAGATAGACAGACAGACTCAATGAAGCAAGATGCCGCCACCTCCTATGATCAGAGGAATAAGATTTTTTCTACCAAGCAAGGCTCTCTATGTAACAGAGTATTATGGTATTCTGGAATGGATTATGGACTGAGCTTGATCAGTACCTGAGCTAAGCATAAAATTAAAACATAATAGAAGATACTCACCCTCCATCTAAATGCTCCTTGAATATTCGTTCAAATGCTCGGCAAAGTTCTAGGATGGTATATAGTTGAGCCTAAAACAGAAATTAACGTTCAACAAATATTCAGAAGGATCACAAAAAGAATTTTACTCTTCAAAGAAATTATCACATGTACAAACCACTTACCCCAGCGTCAAGAGCAATAGGTCTACCAAGATGATCCATCTCCGATTCAAGTTCATCAATGCTTTTGTTAATTAAAGACATTATATTAGGTATCCTTGATCTAATTACTGACTCCAAGTGCTACAAAAATAAGTTCACATGATTAAATCAATAACCTATTTCACAAAAGATTAGCAAATAACATCTTTCAATAAGCAAACCTGTGAAAGTAGTTTTGCAAGGTATTCTGAACCCATTTTATTGGCCAAGTGCCCATAATCAGAACTGGTTGCAAAATATTCACGCTCCTTGCGTCTAGCAATAATCATATCAACATTTTTATTGATGTCCGCTTGGGATCGATTTACTATACCAACCCAAGGCTGTTTCAGACGATATGACTTTCCCTCAAGGACCTTGTGGGAATAAAGAGAGTAAGAGGACAAAGCAATTATATAATTTTACAGGCACATTTCAAACTTGAACATTAAAGGGATACGCATCAAACTCAGACAAGACAGAGAAATTACATCCAACGCATTAGTTCCTTTGTCCATCAAATCTAGCTTTGTCAACACTCCAAATGTCCTTTCACCTAGGCAGATTACAGAAAAGGATTTTAGTACAAAATTATGACACAAGCAAGGGCACTAATTGGCCATTCCAAGAAGCAATCAGAAGATACCTGTGGGATCAACTTCCCTGGAAAGTTTAATAGCATCAGATGTTGCAATGTCTTGGTTGGCCGGAGATATTGCTAGTATGATGCAATTAGGCTGTTGAGCATAAAGCAATTGATTGAATATACTATGGACAGAGTATGACTTGAAACTAATTTAATTTAAGAATGATTCAACAAAGAAATAAAATGATACCCCCTATCACTGTTACAAATATAGAGAAAGGAATGTTATGACAGTTCATAATAGTAAACTCGCAATAAATATGAAAGAAAATTATGTAAGTACTCATTCCTCCTCCTCCTCACTATCTCTACCAAGATAGATAGTAAATCCTGTAAGGATGTTAGCGCATTGTGTACAATATCAGAACACCTCGTGACACAGAAACTGTACCCGCCGTTGGCCACTCCACCATGCAACAATGCAATAGTGGCGTTATTTCCCGCTATTGACTATTCGGGTACATAAGATTTAGTCTAAGCTTCCAATCTCAATGAGCGCTTATAGGAGGTACTTAACTGATCCCTCAGCATAATTAACAACAGAAGATGCTTACATCCAAAGTTCTATAATACAATTTGTATAAAAAGACTAGCAAACTGATAGCAATCTCACCAAAGATATGTCTAATATATATATTCACGGTATAAGAGCAAAGCTTCTTTTACCTTCTCAACATAAGATCGAACCATAGTTTCAATTTCTTGAACAATACTCTCAGGTTGTCCCTCTAAAAAAGATAGGCAAGTTGGTAATGACCAAAAAAAAAGGCATCATTATATCCAAACAATTGATTTGTAATTAACAATTGAACACAAAGCATACCTACAGCAACTTTAGTCAAACCCGGTAAATCAATCAAGGTTAGGTTCACAACTGTTCAAAAAAACAAAAGGAAAAGACATAAAAAAAAATCAGTCAGGAAACACAGGAACTATAATAGGTAAAGAATTTCAGGTTACAGCTGTACTAGTCTCATTTTGTGCCATATAATAACACTGAAGAAAACAGAGTTAAATACACTTAGTTAAAAAATAAGAAATATATATATAAATAAACGGAAAAGTACACAAATAAATACTATTTAACAAGGGTTATACTTATAACCTAAAATACCTCAAATTCATGTAAACTTTCACTTGTACAGTCTTGAACAAGTTGTGAAAGAAATACCTGCCCCTACCTAGTAGAAAGCAGGTGACAGTGGAGAGGTGCTAATCCTGCTCCACAAAAAAGGTGGCAAACAGCTGGTTAAGTAAGTAGTTCTCAGATTTTATAGGAAGAAATAGAACAGGAGTGAAATCGAAAACAGAAGGAAAGGCAAATTTGTATAATAATTTTTAGGGGCATAATACTTGGAATTTTTCATAAATAATGTGATATATGGAGGCGCTAGCAACTTTGTCCATTTTCCAGTCAGAATTATACTATTCATCGAAATGGATGGGATGTGTCAAAGAATTGTAGGTTTAGGATTAGGGGAGAAGAAAAAGACAAAACAAAAGATAGCTAACAATAACACTGAGTATATTATTGAATGGATATAATGGGATACAATACCCTAACCAAATACTCCTATTTATGTTAGTAATTACACCAACTACCATTGTATTACTAATAAAATCCCAAGCCCACTAATACAAGAAGACTATAACCTTAATTAAACAAGGAAATAAATCAAGAAACATAACAAATAAAAAATAACTCATAAAGATTGATTCCTCAATTAAATGACTCATGATTGATGCGGACGCAAATATGCCAAATTTGAAAGTATTCCCAAGTCTCACGAAGTAGACACCGTATTGGTAGTGGTTGACAGGTTAACGAATATGCTCACTTCATGACACTCAATCATCCCTTTGATGCTCAAGAGGTAGCTGCTATTTTTGTCAGAAAGATTATAAGAAACAGATTTCATTTTTTATTTTATCACTATTGTAGTAAGGATCCAGCTTGTGTAATTTCTAGATATGAATTTGGTACCTAAGGGAAATAATTAAAAAATTTCTAAATGTTTTATTTGGACAATTTCACGAGTGTCCTTCCACAATTTATATAAAAGGGTAGAATAGTCTTTTCCCCCTCATCAAATAGTCAAGTCAAAGCCCCCTACTCTTGCTATGGCCATATACCCATTTGTCCTCTTCAGAACACAAAATCTCTTCACCAAAACCGCATGATTTAAGGGTGTAAATGGGTTTCCTTTGGCTAACAGAGAATTATAAAAGGCTCACGAAGCAATATGGACATATTGCAAAATAATTAACACAATAGCTTAAAAAGGATATTTTTTTGCTGGGGAGAGGAAGCTAAAAAGGCTTTTGAATCTTTAACGAAAGAGATGTCGCAATTGAGAAACCTGGTTGAACCTAACTTCGACAAAACTTCATTGTCGAGACTGATACCTAGAATGTGGGTATGGGAGCTGTTCTTATGCAGCAAAGACATCCAATAGCTTTTTTGATTCAAGCATTTTCGAATTAGGCCAAAGCACTATTAGAAGCGAGAACTCCAGGGAATAGTTTTCGTAGTATAGAAATACAACCACCATCTCATGACACACCACTTCAAAGTTAGAATAGATCAAAGGAGTTTAAAATATTGGGCATACCAACGTTCAACAATTCTGCATACTATGAGGGGGTAACAGGGTTTCCTTTGGCTAACGGAGTATTATAGAAGGTTCGCAAAGCAGTATGGACATATTGCAAAATTGTTAACATAATAGCTCAAAAAGGAAAGTATTTCTTTGGGATAGGAAGCTGAAAAAGTTTTTGAATCTTTAAAGAGAGAGATGTTCCAATTGCAAAATTTGGTTGAACCTATCTTTGATGAAACCTCATTGTCGAGACTAACGCTTTAAGTGTGGCTATTGGAATTGTTCTTATGCAGCAAAGATATCCCATAGCTTTTTAGATTCAAGCATTTTCGAATTAGGCCAAAGCACTATTAGTTTACGAGTGAGAACTAAAGGCAATAGTTTTTGCAGTATAGAAATAGCACCACCATCCCATGACACACCACTTCATAGTTAGAGCAGATCGAGGGAGTTTAAAATATTGGACATACCAATGTTTGCCAATTCCACATGATTTGAGGGGGTAAAAGGGTTTCCTTTGGCTAATGGAGTATTATAAGAGGTTAGTGACACACTATGGACATATTGCAAAATTGTTAACACAATAGCTCAAAAAGGACAGTTTTGTTGGGGAATTGAATCTCAAAAGATTTTTGAATCTTTAAAGAGAGAAATGTTATAATTGTGAAACTTGGTTGAACCTATCTTTGACGAAACATCATTCTCAAGACTGACGCCTCGTGTGGGTAAGGGAGCTATTCTTACGCAACAAAGACATCCCACAGCTTTTATGAGTAAAGAGTTTTCAAATTAGGCCAAAGCACTATCAATGTTACAACGAGAACTAAAGGCAATAGTTTTTGCAATGTAGAAATGGCGGCATCATCTCATGACACACCACTTCATAGTTAGAACAAATCAAAGGACTTTAAAATATTGGCAATTGGTATATTCACCTATTCTGCATGATTTAAGGGGGTAAAGCAGTTTCTTTGGCTAACGGAATATTACAAAAAGTTCGCAAAGCAGTATCATAGTAGTCAATAGCGGCGCTCTTGTGCCGCAAGCCGCGGCAGTTGCGCTTCGCGGAGCTTCGCCGCAACCATTCTCGCCGCACCGCACCAGATCGCAATAGCGGTCCAAATCTCGCCACAAACAGTGCTTTTTTATGGTTTTAACCCTAACCCACTCTTCCTTTCTGCCTCTCTGTTGTGTGTCTCTCTTCTGCCTTTCATGCTCTCTTTATCGCGCTCGTTTCTTCCCTTCTCTACTTCTCTCTTATAGTATTGAAATTCAATGCGGAAGCCATGAACGAAGAAGCAAAGCTTTGAGTGAGAGAAAGAGTGAGAGAGAGAGAGAGAGAGAGAGAGCAGATAACAGAGAAAAGGAGAAAAAGTGAGAAAAATAGTAATAGAGAGAGAACAGATGAAGGAGAAAAAGAGAAACTGTGAGAGAGTGAGAAAGAAAGAGATTCTGATCTATCTCCATTCAAAGAAAAGAAAAGTACATTTGTCAGAAAAGTGATTCATAAGTCACGGTAACCAAGTAACCTGGTTACAGTAACAGATGTTAAAACTATTTCTGTATCCCAAAAAAAAAAAAAGAATGCATCATTAAGAGGTAACTAAGGTAAAACAGTAAAGTATTATTTGTATTTTTTTAGGTGTTATTATTTTTTTAATAATTTATTATGTTACATATATATATATCTATCTATATGGATAAGGATCATTTTACACCAGTGTAAGTTACACTCTCAATTTTGTCCGTTGATCCCACTTATATATAAGGGCTCTAATTTTTTAGTAATGTGAACCATTGGATACAATTGGATCAATGGTCAAGATTGAGTGTAAGACTTCTAACTCTTACACCGGTGTAAGAATATCCTGTCCCTATCTATATATATACATATATAATTTGTTTTTTTAATATATATATTTTTTCCACTATTTCCGCAACCGCAACCCGCAATAACGCTATAGCGGTTTTGAGGGTTGGCCGCATCAGGCCGCAATCCGCATTTGATAACTATGAGCAGTATGGAAATATTGCAAAATTGTTAACACAAAAGCTCAAAAAGAATAGTTTCTATTGGGGAGAGGAAGCTCAAAAAGCTTTTGACTTTTTAAAGAGAAGAGATGTTGCAACTGAGAAACCTAGTTGAACCTAACTTTGACGAAACTTTATTGTCGAGACTGACGCCTCATGTGTGGCTATCGGAGTTATTCTTACGCAGCAAAGACATCCCATAACTTTTTTGATTCAAGCACTTTTGAATTAGACCAAAGCACTATTAGTTTAGGAGTGAGAACTTAAGGCAATAGTTTTGCAGTATAGAAATAGAACCACCATCTCATGCAACACCACTTCAAAGTTAGAACAGATCAAGGGAGTTTAAAATAGTGGATATACCGATGTTCGCCAATTCCGCATGATTTGAGGGGGTAAAAAGGTTTCCTTTGGCTAACAGAGTATTATAAAAGGTTAGCGAAGCAATATGGACATATTGAAAAATCATTAACACAATATCTCAAAAAGGACAGTATTTGATGATGGTATGAAGCTCAAAAGGCTTTTGAATCTTTACAGAAAGAGATACCGATGTTCAAAGTTAGAACATATCAACGAAGTTTAAAATAGTGGACATACCAATGTTCGCCAATTCCGCATGATTTGAGGGGGTAAAGGGGTTACCTTGGGCTAACGGAGTATTATAAAAGGATAGCGAAGCACTATAGACATATTGCAAAATCATTAACACAATAGCTCAAAAAGGATAGTATCTGTTGGGGATATAAAGCTCAAAAGGCTTTTGAATCTTTAAAGAAAGAGATATCGCAATCGAGAAACCTTGGCGAACATAACTTTGGCGAAACTTTATTGTCGATACAGACGTCCTAGGTGGGGGTATGGGGGAGTTGTTCTCATGCAACAAAGACATCCCATAGCTTTTTTGAGTCATGTATTTTCGGATTGGGCCAAAACACTATAAGTTTATGAGCAAGAACTAAAAGCAATAGTTTTTGCATTCTAGAATGGTGCCACCATCTCATGACACCACTTTATAGTTAGAAAAGATCAAATGAGTTTAAAATATTGTACATACCAACGTTCGGCAATTCCGCATGATTTGAGGGAGTAAAAGGGGTTTCTTTAGCTAACAGAGTATATTATAGAAGGTTCACGAAGCAGTACGGACATATTGCAAAATCTTTAACATAATAGCTCAAAAAGGAAAGTTTTTGTTTGGGATAGGAAGATGGAAAAAGCTTTTGAATCTTTAAAGAGAGAG